GCTGCTCTGTCTATAGCGTTTATGTCACGCACAGTCCTGTAGACAGGTGGGTTCTTTGGGGGAACTACGTTGAGTGTAGTGAGCACCGCTGCATGGTCAGAGGAGAGCATATGACTCACAGTACAGCTGTCCACCAAGTGGTCGTCATCACGGTACACCACCCAGTCGATGATGTGGCCGCTACGATAGTAGGTGGGCTGCTTAATGCCCTGGACAAGGCTAAACCTTGTGAGGATGTCAAGTACCTTGCTAGCAAGGTGATCAGTAGGGACGTCATAGTGAACGTTAAGGTCGCCCACGATCACACTTGTTCCACGGAGCAGGTTGCAGTAGTCAAGTAGGTCAGGGAGCTCAGAGAGGAAGGTGGAGTTTAGGAGCTTGTTCTTTGGGGGGGTTTGGGGGCTTGTTCTTCTTAGGGGGGGGGGGGGGATCGCGGTACAAGTAGAAAATGTGGACAGTGTGGGGCGTGTTGAGGGTGAACTGAACAAGTTCTAGAGAGGTGTGCTGGAATGGGAAAGTGGAGGTGAAAGTCACTGGGAGGTGGCTGCGATAAATGACAGCGAGGCCGGCACCTCGCGTAGCACGCGGAAAGGACATAATATCGAAACCCGGTGGCGTGAGGTCAGCGCACTTGGCATCATCCCCTGTTGACCTCAACCAAGTCTCCGTCAGGAACAGCACGTCAACAAATTCGTCCTTTACGAACTCTACTATCTTTGTTCACTTCGCCCCGCACTTTGAGCCCACGGATTGGCAGTTATAGTGGCCTACTCGTAGTTGGTCTGGACGCTTCTGGCGAATACGTCCGGAGTCAAGTGGGACCCATGGTACGCGCTTGGGACGAACAGGAAGGCGTTCAAACACATCTGTCACCACGTGAATATGCGTCGATTGCTGCGTCTCCAAAGACCAATTTACTTTCATTGAATCTTTGAGGGCAAACTGGGGAGAAGTGGGTTGATGCATATGAGCAGGTGTTGAGGTGGAAGGAGCTGAGTGACGAGATCTCATCTTCCTTTTTCCGCCGCGAAAACTTCTTGCAGTTTTCTTTTTTATTAATTGAAGTGTTCTACATCGTGCAAGAATTTCACTACTAAGGAGATAGCTATCAGCTAGAAGGTTACGCAGCTGGCGCAGTCTAGTGGATGAATAATGGAGGCAGGACATCTCTTTCAAGTTAAAATCTACTCAAAACAGACAAACACTTTTGTGGCTTGAATTGTCGCCGCACAGTGTTCCACATAGTGACATTTAGAAATTAATTATCCATAAATAAAATTTGTGAGAAAACTCCTGATTATGCGTAAGTGTAGAGATGTCTGAACTATCTAGTAAGCGAATCAAGAACCGGAAGTAATATGTCGATAGCCTTGACTGTCTAATTTTATATCAATTAAGAATGGAGAATAAGTCTAATACACCTTAGTAATTTTCGAAATAAATTACTTTCCTACGTCCAGGAGACTTTGAGATACAAACTTGTCCCAACTATTGAGGAATAACATTTGAGAAACACATTCCAAAAAGGAAAAAATGAAGAGAGATTTCACTGCTGCCTATCAAGCGCTAGTGAACCGGAAAATGGTCATAAAGAATATCACCCATGGCCACAGAAAATATTACCTATGGCCACAGAGAATATCATCCATGGCCACAGAGAATATCATCCATGGCCACAGAGAATATCTCCCATGGCCACAGACAATATCACCCTTGGCCACATAAGAAAATATGTGAAATGTTGCGATAACGATAGTTTACAAGACCGTCCACTTTGGTACTCTTGACCCACTTTCTTATCTCTGGTTTAACAAAGGTAACTTGACGTCAGACTTGCGCCACACGTGGACACATAGTTCCAGACATATGACGTCAGAATCCCATCAAAGAATAGAAACCAAAATTAAAAAAAAAGAATGTAAAAATCGGAAATGTATTTTTCAAATTTTTAATTTTAAGTCGGATAATTATCAGGGCTATGACTAATGACTCCTTGATTTATAGAGCTTGATAATGTTCTTTGTCTCCATTTTTAGAACCTGGCTTCGCCCCCCCCCCCCCCCCCCCCCCCCCCCCCTAGACCAGTAGCCGGCAACCTTTTTGGAAGGAGGAGCCAATTTTCAATCATCCCTTCTAAGAAACTACTCTGTGAGAGCAACTATCAATTCATAGAGCCGCACGGACCCATAGCCACAGGTCGCTGACCACTACCCTGACCAATTAGAACACAATCATGAACCATGTAGCCATAATGTGCTGACTCCAGCACAACACAATCATCAACCATATGGCCATAATGTGCTGACTCCAGTACAACACAATCATCAACCATATGGTCATAATGTGCTGACCGTCATGTGTAATCACAAAGCCAAACATTATCAACACTGTGATGTCTCCTTGACTTGTCCATCTCAACAACAACAATGACCATCATTTGTGGAAGTCCATCTTCTGTAAGTTTAACACTTTCCTGTTTTTATAAAACTTCTATACAAGATTTCAGATGTGTCTCAAAATTATTATGGACATGGTCTCTGGATGTCTTTCACATGCATCCATATCTTTGAAGTGTCAATTTCATACTGATTCTAACCCGAATTTGATCTATATAAAATTAATTGCTAATAACCTTTAAGTCTTTCCCAACAAAAGCGCCACCACACAGACTGTACAGCCGAACATAATCTTAGCAGACGAATTTCTCCAATAGGCCGATCTTGAAACTGTCACTCCTTTCATCCCCTCTGACGCCTGCAAGTTATTAATACCCTCGACAATGAAGCTCCAAGACCGACTGCCTTCCATAACAGCCGCTTATTTTGCTGACGTCACCAGCGGCCGTACCTGCCACACCAAGGAAGGAATTTCCCACACCCTTCTCTAAGGACAAGGCTAAGGTTGGTTTTTTTGAGCTGTGGCAGGGGAGGCGATCTCATTGGATTTACATTTGTCACTAGGGTGACCAAATCATGGACAGGAAAAAAGGGGACACAACCAAGGAGGGTTGGGGGGGGGGATACCCTCCAGCTAATGAGGGGTCCGGGGGCCTTCCATCGGAAACTGTTTATTGAAATATGCTCATTTAACTATTTTGAGACCTAGAAATCTTCTTAAATTTCCCTTCCCTTTTGTAATTGAATGTAAACTCTGAGCCATAGCATAGACGAAAACAATAATTCTACAGTGACTTCTTATTTATTGATACATATTTTACAACATAATACAACACAAAAAATGTATCTAGTCTAGGATTTAAATTGAGGATATTTGGCTGTTGTCCCAGTCATTGTTAAAACCTCCTTCTTATCTAAAATGTGAAAATGTGTTTAGTTCTAGAAACGGGACATTTAGCAATTTAAATAATGTACATGTTGTTAATGATTGTGAAGCGCTTAGAGCTTTAAGGTAAGCGCTAGATAAAAATGCATAAATAAATACATAAATAAATAAATAAATTTAGGCGCCCCGAGAGACTTTTTCGGGACAACGGGATTGTTATCCCGTTTTTACGGGACGTTTGGTCACCCTACATTACACTTTTCCATTTGACACATCACTTTGCGAGATATCGTTTCTGTATGGAATAGGGGTTTTCGGGCCTTGTCATGAAAAATGTGTTTCTGTCTTTCTCTTCATGCAACCACACCTAGTCACAGGCAACCACACATTAGTCACAGGCAACCACACACTAGTCACAGGCAACCACACACTAGTCACAGGCAACCACACACTAGTCACAGGCAACCACACATTAGTCACAGGCAACCACACACTAGTCACAAGCAACCTTATATTAGCGAGAGGCAACCAATGTTCCCTTTAAGCTGCGCGGCCGCGCAGCAGTTTTGAGTATCCGCGCAGCAAATTTCCATGTGTGTGTTTGTGGGCTGTAAAATTTTGCACACAAAAAATCTAATGCTGTAAAACTGTGCAACCACAGTTTTTTTTCCCTTTTTTAGTTTAAGTTTAAATATTTTTAAAAATTGGGGTGTTTTTTAGTAAGAAGTTACCGCATTTTTTTTTTTTTTGTGTTAACACCGTCAGCAATCGAATTAGAATAACAGCGATTGACCTTTGCGGTCTCCGTTCAAATTAACCAACCACAAATATATTTTTTTAATTTTGCACACAAAAAATCTAATGCTGTAAAACTGTGCAACCACAGTTTTTTTTTCCTTTTTTAGTTTAAGTTTAAATATTTTTAAAAATTGGGGTGTTTTTTAGTAAGAAGTTACCGCTTTTTTTTTTTTTTTGTGTTAACACCGTCAGCAATCGAATTAGAATAACAGCGATTGACCTTTGCGGTCTCGATTCAAATGAACCAACCAGAAATATATTTTTTTAGATGATTGCGTTGTTAAGACCTTTTCTCATCCGTAGAAACAAATCGGAGGACCATATCCTGTATATTTATCCGTGTTTACTTACATAAGCAGTTGAGTGGATTTCCTTACACAATTTACATTTTGATTGCAAAGTCCCCCCCCCCCCCCCCCCCCCCCCCCCCTTTTTTTTTCCAACCGCCGCTAATTGACCGAACTACCGTTTGGAGCTTGAGGCTAAGCTGAAAACTACTCTGACACTAACCCTGGGGTAAAACTACTCTGACACTAACTCTGGGGTAAAAAAGGTCTGAACAAGTAACCACCTATATAACACATGTAACCCCAAATAGAACACAAGTAACAGCAAATTAAACACAAGTAGCAAAATGTTAAACACAGGTAACACAATATTAAAAACAGGTAACAACAAACTAAATAAATGAAAAAATTATTTTTACCTGTAATAAAACAAATATTTATGTATTAAAGCCTTCACCCAGTATACCTACCCAATTACCAGGTACCCTAAAAAATAAGTGAGGAAAATCCGCTACGCCCCTGAACATTTCGTTACCTAGATCGGTACAGCAGTAAAATTGTCCCCGTGCCTACAGTACAAAGACGCCTGCTTTGAAAAGGTTGGCTTCACATGAACTAATTCAGTTGCTCTGAGGGTACGCTATCAGAATGGAAGGATTACAGCGGACTTTGACAGGAATGATATCGAAACTTCGCTCACATCGGAAACAGTTATACAGAAAGTAAGTGCACAGTCGTATAATGTGGTGTACATTATATTACGAAAATATTATTATAATTTTTGTCTCATGTAATAGTATTGGTATAGTTGGTAATTAAAAAAAAGAGGATGGAGACAGCAAACATATGTAAAATCAAACCACGTTCCTCTTGTGAAATCAAACCACGTTCCTCTTGTGAAATCAAACCACGTTCCTCTTGTGAAATCAAACCACGTTCCTCTTGTGAAATCAAACCACGTTCCTCTTGTGAAATCAAACCACGTTCCTCTTGTGAAATCAAACCACGTTCGTCTTGTCGTTCTCTCGGATGCAACATTTCAGTTGCGTTTTTCTTGTTGTGTTTGTGTTAGTGTTTGTTTGCATGGTGAAGGCTTCTTGTCGACACGTTCGTTGTTTTCTTGCGTTCATTTTATTTGTTCAGGTTTTCTCATTTCTTGTTGAACATATTTCCTGGTATTCTTGGAAAGGTTACCATATCATGGCATTTATCATCATATATTTCCTAGCATTTATCATCCTATATTTCCTATCATTTATCATCCTATATTTCCTATCATTTATCATCCTATATTTCCTATCATTTATCATCCTGTATTTCCTATCATTTATCATCCTATATTTCTTAGCATTTATCATCCTATATTTCCTATCACTTATCATCCTATATTTCCTATCATTTATCATCCTATATTTCCTAGCATTTATCATCCTATATTTCCTAGCATTTATCATCCTATATTTCCTATCATTTATCATCCTATATTTCCTAGCATTTATCCTCTTATATTTCCTAGCATTTATCATCCTATATTTCCTAGCATTTATCATCCTATATTTCCTAGCATTTATCATCCTATATTTCCTGGCATTTATCATCCTATATTTCCTAGCATTTATCATCCTATATTTCCTAGCATTTATCATCCTATATTTCCTAGCATTTATCATCCTATATTTCCTAGCATTTATCATCCTATATTTCCTAGCATTTATCATCCTATCTAAAAGTGAAAAGGTGTTGGTTTGTTTCTGGCGGTGTCTGTTTGTTCCACAAAGGATTTTACATGGATTGATGGATCTTGACCAAACTTAGCATATATATCCATCATTATCCAGAAGGGACTCTTAATGGGTTATAATATTTTTATAACATTCCGTTTAGGGCCGGGGGCCCCAACTTATTTTTTTTTCTTATATGCGCTTTATACATAAAATTAATAACAAATACTCCTACATACATTGATGGATCTTGACCAAACTTAGTACACATACACTTAATTATCAATACTCAAATACCAAAAGGTACTGAACTCATGATATTCATCCCTCTGGGGCCGGGGCCCCATTCCATTTTTTCTTATATAAGCTCTATAAATACCAATAGGCTTAATACTCCTACAGGAATAGATGGATCTTGACCAAACTTATTAACACAGACACTTAATCATCCATATTCAAATACCGAATGGTGCCGAACTTATAATATCCATTCCTCAGGGGACTGGGGCCCCATTTAATTTTTCCTCACATAAGCTATATAATTATCAATAGGCTTAGACAACACTATAGGTTCTATGTGCATTTTAGGTTATAGGCATAGCGTGGTAGCAATACACTTTTTGTCCGTATTGAAATATCGGTGGATTTAAAGCTAAGAAAATCCAATCTAGAATTTTCCAGAAAGCTCGATAATTTTAAAAAGCTATATCTATGGCATTTTAAAGTAGATTTTAATGGGACAATTTTAAATTTTAACTTTATTATTTATCTGGCTGACTTTATAGGGCCCCCTATCTCAGGCATAAGTATATCGTTACAGTTATGGAATGGGCCCCCGGGGCCCCTCGATTAACTTAAAATAAAAATTATTATAAATATTGCATTTGTTGAAGATTTTTATCGTATTTGAAAAATAATTAGATAAGTAATTTTTACACATGTTTTGAGCACGTTATTAAATTTAATCTAGAATATTCCAGAAAGTTCTGAATTTTCCAAGGGGTCTGAGAGATTATTGAAATTTTATGTAATTCTATTCATTTCTATACTCTCCCGGAGTTTACTGTTCTTTCGGTAACCCTGAGTAATTTTTTCATGCGGGATCCCAAATGGGTCGGGATCAATGTTCCCTCTAAGGTTTGCTGGTTCATGTGCAAAATCATACAATTGTGTGCAAAGTTTTACAGCATCAATTTTTTTGTGTGCAAAATTTTACAACCCACAAACACAAACGCACATGGAGATTTTTCTGCGCGGATACTCAAAACTGCTGCGCAGCGTCTATGAGTTAGCTGCGCGGCCGCGCAGCCGCGTAGCTTAAAGTGAACATTGGTCGGGATCCCATCATAATCTTTATCCCAACGGGAACAGGATCCACCCAGAAAACGGGATCCCACCGGGATTGGATGCTAAACTTGAATGGATCCGCCGGGATCGAGATCACACCGGAAACGGGACTGCGCCGAGATCGGTGTTAGAATGGGATCGGGGTCCCAATGGGATTAGGGGTGACACATGAGGTCCTAAAGCAATTTCGGGCCACGCCGGGTATATAGGCTAGTATATATATATATATATATATATATATATATATATATATATATATATATATATATATATATATATATATATATACATAAGTGAACGTTTGTGGATTTGTTCCACATACGTTTTCATATGGATTGATGGATCTTGACCACTCCTGGCATATATATCCAATATTATCTGGAAGGAACTCTTGGGGGTTTATGAACTTTTTATAACATTCCATTTGGGCCCAGGGGCCCCGAATTCATTTTTTTTCTTTTATGAGCTATGTAAATAAAATCACCAATAAATACTCCAACATAAATAAATGGATCTTGACCAAAGCTAGTACAAATACACTTGATTATCCTTATTCAAATACGGAAGGGAAATGAACTCATAATATCCACTCCTTTGGCGCCAGGGACCCCATTTAATTTTTCCTAATATAAGCTATATAAACATCAATAGACTTAGACAACGCTATAGGTTCTTTGTCAATTGATGGATCTTCTTCTTCTTCTATATCTTAAGGGCCCACGATCAATTTATTGATCATTTTGGCTCCTATGCATGTAGATGGGATTTGCAATGTTTCTGTTACTGGTGGTGATGAGGAAATTATGCACTAGGGTCCCTGATTGTCTTGGGCAGGAATGAGCTGCTCCTATACTGGCTTCTTGCTGGTATGAGCCTGAATTGCCTGTCATGGCCTCGTCGCTGTCTATGGGGGAGAGGGACGAGTTTCTGTTTAATACTGGATCTAGGCCTAGCTTTACAGCAATACACCGCTAAATCAATAATAAAATATTGTGGATTTAAAATTTAAAAAATATCCAATTCATTCATAGCCGGTCTAGAATTTTCTAGAAATTTTGACAATATAAAAGAGCTATATCTATAACATTTTTAAACCGATTTTAATGTGACAACCTTTAAACGTATTATTTATCTGAGTGATTTTATAGCACCCCCACCCCCACCCCCCATCCTCCCGGATCTCAGACAAAACTAAATCGGTACAATTATGGAATGGGTCCCTTCCGAGCCCCTCTTTCAATTTAAATGTACTAGAGTTATAGTAATATAATAAATTTTATAAGTTTTCGTATTCGAAAAATAATTACCTAGAAATGTAATTTTTAAACGTGTCAAGGAGTATATTAAATTTAATCTAGAATGTTCCAGAACGTTCTAAATGGTTCTACAGGGATATATAATGGGATCTAAAAGCCTACTGAAATGTTAAGGAAACGTGATGTCATCGGAGTTGAGGTTCCCGTCGTGAAACGGGATCCAACCAGAAAATAGGATCCCTCGGGATCGGGATCCCACCGGTATCAGAATCCCACCGGGACCGGGATCCTATTGTTAAACGGGATTCCACTGGGATTGGGATCCTACCGGGATCGGGATCTTACCGGGATCCGGATCCTACCGGGATCGGGATCCTACCTGGATCGGGATCCTACCGAGATTGGGATCCTACCGGGATCGGGATCCCACCGGGAAACGGGATACTGACTGGATCGGGATTGGGGTACTGACTCGATCGAGAAACTGCCTTTCTCGATAAACACATATCTCACATTTGTCGTTCAGCATACACCACTATCCGCCAGATCAGCTCCATACGCCACTACCTCACAGTTAGCGCTACAAAAACTCTAGTCTGTGCTCTTGTTCTGTCTCGTCTTGACTATTGCAACTCTCTTCTGTCAGGTGCACCAAAACACTGCATAGAAAAACTGCAGAAAGTTCAAAACTCAGCTGCTAGGCTAGTTTTTTAAAGGCCAAAAAAAAACGTGATCACGTAACTCCACTACTCCATTCCCTTCAGTGGCTACCTATACAGGCACGCATTGGCTACAAGTTGTCTGTTCTCTGTCACAACTTTTTCTTTGATTTCTGCCCTTCATATCTAACCGAACTTATTTCTGTCTATTCACCCCTTCGACAGCTTCGCTCCTCTGCAGACACGCGTATTCTGTCCGTTCCAAAGACACACACTAAAACATATGGGGAACGATCTTTCTCTTTCTGCGCCCCCAAACAATGGAATTCTTTGCCACTACACATACGCAATATACCAACCACCCAGGCCTTCAAAACTGCACTCGAAACACATCTTTTTAAATTATACTACCCTGACTGATTCCCCTCCTCTGACCGATAAACGATCTTGCTGGCTGCCGTCCATGGTTTGCCTTGTAAAAGTTATGTGGTGGGGTGGGTGAATATACATTGCTGTTCTTTATTTCATAAATGTATTTTGTTTAAATGTCATGATTATGTCTCTTTTGATAACATTTTTAAGTACAGCGCGGTGAGCCCAGCCCTAGGCTGGGGTACCGCGCTATATAAGACCCCTTATTATTATTATTAGTTATTAGTATTCCACCGGGGTCAAGATCCAAATGGGAAACTGGATCCCACCGAAAAACGGGATCTAGACTGGATCGGGATTAGGTTCCTATCATGAATACTCCGGGAAGCGGGATGCCATCGGAAAACGGGATCCCTTTGTGATCCCATCGGGGAACGAAAGGTTTACACAAGTTATTTCATTTGTTTTTATAAGAGACAAATTAATTATTATTTTTTATTTACTACAGCTGTGTGTATATTTTTTTAAACATTTCGCTTAATTTCAATGTGAATAAAAAGGCTGGAGTAGGTGTTTTTTTGCGAATGCAATCCCGTGCAACGCTGGGTATAATGGCTAGTGTTTAATGATGAGACACAAAGTTAGGAAATATTTTGAACAAGTGAATTGATAACTGTAAACAAACTGTTTGCAACAAAGTAAATTGACACCTAGCTGTGCTATAATAATATAATTATATAAATAAATTAAATGAACAGCTGTCTATACTACTACACTGTTACCATCTGTACAAAATTTAGGTTGGTGTTGTGACATTTGTGATGTTTCGATAAAGGATACTTTTATTTAGAATAGTGATAGGACAAACAAGGAATGTGATAGGACAAACAAGGAATGTGATGGACAAACAAGGAATGTGATAGGACAAACAAGGAATGTGATAGGACAAACAAGGAATGTGATAGGACAAACAAGGAATGTGATAAGACAAACAACAGAAGAAGAAAGATACCCTCACGGTGAAAGGGAAACAACTTTTACCAGAAAAGATATCTACCCCTATTAAAAGAAAGTAATGAATGATTGGGCAGGGTATGAATGGGAGGTAATCCTGTGAAAGATCGGCTTATGGGAAGTTTGGCGGTGGTTTTGTTGCCCTTTTATAGATTGGCTCGATTGCTTTGTTCCTTGGATGGCTATACCGCTGCCATCTTGGACTGGTGGGCTTAGTTTGACAATAATTGAACACAACTGAATGTGTCTTGATGGTGGGCTCGTCCTGATAAAGCTGGTTTTATTATGAGTTCAACGAGTTTAAACTTGCCTTCAATACTTTTGTTTTGAATTGAGTCTATCATTTCCGGTAGTTGTCGCAGCAGATGTTATTTATCACCACGTATTGTGTTTTCATCTTCTATGATATTATTTACAAGAAATTAAATGTAATAAAAAAGAAATTTAAATTAATAACTTTAAAAAACTTACATCACAAATAAACAAAAACAAACAAATGAAATGCTTGAATAGCTTGAACACCATAAGTATAATAATTTATTAATAGTTATTTCCATTGATTTATACTTATGATCTGCTCTTGTCTGCCCACAGATCTGTCTTTGTCTGTGTCGTCATGTTTATCTTCATGGCGGGAACCTTCAGTATGACAGCCAGACTTCCACCAGCAAGAGAATCCTATTCCCCCTACGAAAACACGAAATCCTACGTCATCAAAATAAGAAACGCCGCACCATTTCCGGTGTGGGTGGATTTGATGACCGTCGACTCCATTGAAGGTCGCGACATCGCAGACGACACGAATATTTTAAAAAATGTCGCCCATGACGAGGCTCTGGACATGAAACCTGGCGACTTCTATCACGTGGACGATGTTCAGGTTGTCAACAACGCCGACCTTAACCTTCGTTACGAGGACCTAAGTCTGGTCCACCAGCCTAAAGTTCGTCTGGCGCACGGCCAGGTTAGGCTCAGGATGAAATCAAGCTTGGACGCCCAGAGCCAACAATTACAGGCTCACGGTCAGACAGAGAGCAGACTTGTGAGACAGACCGAAAGTGGGTCAGACAGAAGACTCGTAAGACACAAACGAAGTCTTGAGAACAGTATTAGAAGCAATGTACGGACTGGAAGTGATGAGACAGGATTTCATCGAAACAAAGATGTGGAAAGTGTGCTAGGAAATAGGAATTCTATGGGTCATCCGGCAGATGGCGACGACAATCGCCACATGAGATCAAGAGGGAGCCCGAGTGTCAACAAAGACAGTGACATGCACAAAGATCAAAACAACAAAGAAGTGCAACACGCCGTGACCAACACCCAAGAAATAATCCGTAGTTACGGAGCACACAAAAACATGAGTCGAAGGTTGTGGCATTTTCATAAGAAAAATAACCAATCAGAAATCTCCCCCGCGACCCACCAACCCGAGATATTTCAAGGAATCACCGCCACAGTCAAGCCACAGAGAACCTCGGAGCACTACGATGTGGTCTTCATCAAGGTCCACAAAGCCGCCAGCACGACGGTCCACAACGTCATGATGCGGTTCGCCTTGTCCCGTCAACTCGACGTCATGCTGCCCAAGCGGTCCAACATCATCACGGAGATGGGATCGCTAATCAACCCGGATGATATCCTCCCGTCACCCCCAAACCTTAAGTTCAACATGATCTGTAACCACATTGTCTACAACCGCGGCCAGATCTCCAACTTCATGAAATCTCCTGACCGAACCGTTTACATTGGGATCGTACGAGAACCTTTCGAACAATTCGTTTCGGCGTTTTATTACTACCTGAACACATTCCAGAGACCACTTTTGGTCCAGATCGCCATGGATCACCCAAGGAACCCCATCCGTGGGTTCCTGGATAACCCGTTGAAGTACGTTGACGTACCCAAGTACGATTATGGCGTGACCTACATCAACAACCGGATGTCGACAGACTTCGGCTTCCCCATGTGGAATCTGGAGACGGACAAACATCGAGACGACTTCATCAAGAAATTTCTCAAGGACACCGCGGAGAACTTTGACCTCGTCCTAGTGGTGGACATGTTTGAGGAATCCCTTGTCATGATGCGGCGTCTTCTCCGGTGGAAGGTCAAGGACATTCTTTACATCCGGGCCAACACGAAATCTGAAGCGGAGAAGGCGCAGAACTTACATTTTCCTTGGAAGACGAACGTCCAGTTTTCAGTGGATGATGTCAAGAACCACAGGCTCTACTCTCCGGTCGACCATGCCCTCTACGATTATTTTAAAGCTCTCCTGGTTGAGAAAATTAAAAACCAGCCTCCAGACTTCACGGGGGAGGTAAAAATGCTGAAAGTCCTCCTAAAGGACGTGGCGTCTTTTTGCGAAACTTTGGAAGAAGAGAGTTTAGATCTGCAGGAAACAGAGTTACTCGTCCCTGGTAACCAATGGACGGATGGTTTCAAAGTAAGCTCCCAGGACTGCAGGCTGTTGAAACTCAGCGAACTGGACATGATAGATTTGGCGCGCAGAACACAGGAAAAAAAATACAATTCCTGAAATGAGACAGTTTATTATAGATAAAATACTGAAAGTAAACACGTGAAATTCATTAGCCCTGAAACAAACTATGCAGTGCATAATTGATCTAAGCATAAGAATGTCTTTGATACCACAATTCTTATAAGAAATGACCCTTCGAGCTGGACTCGACATTTGTTGGTGACAAATATCACGTGGGTTTCGACATTGACAGAACCCAATGATTTTGATTGGTTAATTCTGTCCTAACATTATCCATCATTAACTGCCATAATGGTCAAGCTGAAAACTGTTGACCACTGGTGTTCCTATTACAAACAATTTTTTACAGCTGCCTGCTCGCTGGTTGAGCCCGGCACAATTTAGTATTGCATATTATTCGCTATGTCAAGATATTATAAGGTATTTTTGAGTTAACGTCCTCCATGCTACGAACTGTAATAAGAGAAAATATCTCATAACATGCACTCTTGCAACCCTACACCAATCACACTACTGTGTTCCACAGCCCCAGCCCCAGCCTGTTCAGCGTCCCCCAAAACGGGTCTGATCTACAGAATGGCCTATAGACAGATGGCATCACCTACAAATTGCTTCACCTACATAAGGGCCCACCCGCAGAAAGTTCCACTTACAAAATGTCCCAATTACAGAAGGCCCACCTACAAAATTCACAACCTATAAATGCCCAACCTATAGAAGTTTCCGATTTCAGAGCAGCCTACCTACAGAAAGCCATTATACTTATGGTCTCACCTACAGAAAGCCCACCTACAGATGGCCCCACCTACAGCAGACCACACCTAAACAAAGGGCCCCTTCTCATCCCAAATGCCAATGACAACATATCCGAAAATGCCAATGACAACTTATCCCAAATGTCATATGTTAAAAAGAAACATGAGAAGCTTAAAGTCACAAATTTAATAATATGAAAACAATATATTTAACGACGACCCGAATATCAACCTGATCCCCAGCCCTTTCCACTGCACATTCCAATCTACCAAAGCCATTCCGCTCTGTTCCCTCTCTAGCATCAACTCGTTCTATTTTTAAATCTCAGTATTGACCTTGACCTCACAGGCATGCTATGTTCTAAGTCTTATTGCAATGCTCACTGTACATATATTTTATTTTAGAAATTCACATAGGCTGAACTGAAAGTGAAAATGCACAATTATCCTTTTGTGACACGAATAGCTCCATTTGGCTGGCCAGTGAAGATATTTCAGTTTCGAGCTCTTTAAGGAATTGGTTTTTTTATTACAAACGACTTCTTTCCCTTGAGGCAAAGGATGACTTGAAAACGGTAATTGATCCTACCAAAGTATGACTTGAAAACGGTAATTGATCCTACCAAAGTATGACTTGAAAACGGTAATTGATCCTACCAAAGGATGACTTGAAAACAGTAATTGATCCTACCAAAGTATGACTTGAAAACGGTAATTGATCCTACCAAAGTATGACTTGAAAACGGTAATTGATCCTACCAAAGGATGACTTGAAAACGGTAATTGATCCTACCAGAGGATGACGTAGACAGGAATGCGGATCAATTGTGTCAGTGTAGTTGTTAGAGTCATAGCAATGAATCTCTTTCATTTTAAGTTTCAAGTCAAGAAAGTAACATTGATTTTTTATTAAAAAAATCTTGAGTGATGATTTAGAAATATTTCAGAAAATGATTTTGTAGTGATCCTCAAAACAAATGGCAACCTTAATCCCCAATGTAGCACAGTCCGAGCCGAAAGTCCAACCAACTCTCAAGTGGAATGTTTTATCATAAAGTCCAACCAACTCTCAAGTGTAATGTTTTATCATAAAGTCCAACCAACTCTCAAGTGGAATGTTTTATCATAAAGTCCAACCAACTCTCAAGTGTTTTAATGTTTTATCATAAAGTCCAACCAACTCTCAAGTGGAATGTTTTATCATAAAGTCCAACCAACTCTCAAGTGGAATGTTTTATCATAAAGTCCAACCAACTCTCAAGTGGAATGTTTTATCATAAAGTCCAACCAACTCTCAAGTGGAATGTTTGATCATAAAGTCCAACCAACTCTCAAGTGGAATGTTTTATCATAAAGTCCAACCAACTCTCAAGTGGAATGTTTTATCATAAAGTCCAACTAACTCTCAAGTGGAATGTTTTATCATAAAGTCCAACCAACTCTCAAGTGGAATGTTTTATCATAAAGTCCAACCAACTCTCAAGTGGAATGTTTTATCATAAAGTCCAACCAACTCTCAAGTGGAATGTTTTATCATAAAGTCCAACCAACTCTCAAGTGGAATGTTTTATCATAAAGTCAAACCAACTCTCAAGTGTTTTAATGTTTTATCATTTCAGACGACGATCCTTGATTTTTTTTTCTTGGTATCGACCAGTGATCTCAATTAGTATTAGATATTGTAATTATAATATTATATCTGCGAGTATGTTCACTACATCAGGGGTTCTCAAACCGATGAAATACACGTTCGGAGGGGGGGGGGGTATGGGGCTATTATAAACAGTGAGAAATGCCATAACCTGAAGTTGCTCCATTCATGGGCGCCATTTCAGTTTTTTTTCACGGAGGGGGGGGGGGGGGGGCGCAAAAATCTAAAACTTGTTCTGCTTGGAACCCCTGTCCAGCAAATTAAATACAACCTGCAAATTCAGGGGGAAAAGGGGGGGGGCTGATGGCAACTGACGCCACTGGTTCTATTTAAAATTCCTCGAACTTCGAAAGTAAAAATTATGTTTAAGAAACGGAAATGATAATTAATGAAGGCTGAGAACCTTTGGTTCAATGAAACATTCTCTTGGTGTGCACATCTATGGTGTTGAATGTATGACATTTCCTGTCACTCTCAGAAACAGCCAGACACTGGAGGCTTTAAAAACTGATTTTAAAACACCTCAATTTCGCAAAAACATCTTGGGGTGATGTTGGCCACCATCTTTTCCAGTTAGCTATTATCACCCATATGTATATTGGCCTGTGATGTTTATGTTTGCAAGGGATGAAAGACTTAAAATGGGTATTCTCGTATGTAGTTTTTGTAATGTTGTGTTTGTATTTCAATGTGGTAAATTATAGATTTTTTCATTTCTCTTTTAATATGGTTGACTTTGTACCACGCTTCGAGCCTTTGGGGATGAAGCGTGATTTTCAAATAAGCTTTATTATTATTATTATGATCTATTTATACTGTGCTTATTATGATTTATTTATACTGTGCTTATTATGATCTATTTTTTCTGTGCTTGTTATGATCTATTTATACTGACATATTTTTTTCTTTGTGCATAACATGTTGGTTGATACAAATCTAAAGGGTAGTTTCTCCAAGTATTCAAAATACATTTATTTTCCTGTTCAAATATTCTCTTTTGTTCCTTTTCTTTTTAAATATTGATACGGTTATTGTACTGCTAAACTCCAATCCACTGCTAAACTCAATCCACTGCTAAACTACAATCTACTGCTAAACTCCAATCCACTGCTAAACTCCAATCCACTGCTAAACTCAATCCACTGCTAAACTCAATCCACTGCTAAACTCAATCCACTGCTAAACTCAATCCACTGCTAAACTCAATCCACTGCTAAACTACAATCCACTGCTAAACTACAATCCACTGCTAAACTCAATCCACTGCTAAACTCCAACTCAATCCACTGCTAAACTCTATTCCACTGCTAAACTCCAAGCCACTGCTAAACTCCAATCCACTGCTAAACTCCAATCCACTGCTAAACTCCAATCCACTGCTAAACTCAATCCACTGCTTAACTCCAATCCACTGCTAAACTCAATCCACTGCTAAACTACAATCCACTGCTAAACTCAATCCACTGCTAAACTACAATCCACTGCTAATCTACAATCCACTGCTAAACTCAATCCACTGCTAAACTACAATCCACTGCTAATCTACAATCCACTGCTAAACTCAATCCACTGCTAAACTCAATCCACTGCTAAACTCAATCCACTGCTAAACTACAATCCACTGCTAAACTCAATCCACTGCTAAACTACAATCCACTGCTAAACTCAATCCACTGCTAAACTACAATCCACTGCTAAACTACAATCCACTGCTAAACTCAATCCACTGCTAAACTCCAACTCAATCCACTGCTAAACTCCAATCCACTGCTAAACTCCAATCCACTGCTAAACTCCAATCCACTGCTAAACTCAATCCACTGCTAAACTCCAATCCACTGCTATACTCCAATCCACTGCTAAACTCAATCCACTGCTTAACTCCAATCCACTGCTAAACTCAATCCACTGCTAAACTACAATCCACTGCTAAACTCAATCCACTGCTTAACTACAATCCACTGCTAAACTACAATCCACTGCTAAACTCAATCCACTGCTAAACTCAATCCACTGCTAAACTCAATCCACTGCTAAACTCAATCCACTGCATTGAGCAATGAAGATATTCTGACAATGATGTAAAAATTTGGCTGCCAATGTAATTATTTTGTGTGCTTGTCATTCCCATTAACATTCCCCGCCCCCCAAAAAACAACATGAATACATCATTTATGTATGACATATACATTTATAAATCATTTATGTATGACATATACATTTATCCCAACATGCATACCATACCTGAGTGACAGCTCCATTTATTTCCCACCTGCACATCTCAGCTTTTCAACGTTTCACCGTCCAGACCAGCGAACATAATGCATGTCTAGTGACAAGTGTTGACACAGTGATATAAGGTATTGCTAAAAGATTAAGGTAGTGCTAAAAGATTTTACACCGTCACTTGCACATTCTTCACTGTCTTAACATTTTCTATGGTACCGTCTACAACAGCCTTTCTTTCAGTGTACCGGGGAGGGAGATTTCAGATATTCGGGTGGTCATTGCTAGGGGCGTAGAAAGGGTGGGGGGGGGGGCAGTCCACCCTAGGGGACTTTTATCACTTTATGGAGGGAAGTCATTTTTGGCATACTCCCTCCCCCCCCCCGAGGGTAACACACTAGCTACGTCACCGGGAAGCGCTAAAAGTAGGCTTGAAGGCGATAGTGGGTACATGGGTCAACGCCTGTCCAGAAAATGTTTGATAAATCTTTGTATGCCTGCATTCAGTTGTTCGTTTAACAAAAAATTCTAACCAGGGAGGGACCATTTCAAAAGGGGGCAGGGCATCTATTAGCACGCAAATTATGCGTTATGGGGTCGTCCATTAATTACGTCAACAATTTTTACGCAATTTTTGACACGCCCCCCTCTTGTCAACAACTGTCAAACTTTCGATGACCCCCCTCCCCCCATTTAATTATATCAACATTTTATACCCCCACCCACACACACAAAAAAAAGAATTATAATAAAAATAAATTTATAAATCCATTTTACTTCGTGCTGATCTATTTCAATGGCACATACCATTGAAGGGAACACATTTGATTGCATGTTTAGCTTGTTCATCAATAAGTTAAAAAGTTTTCACACTTAAACTTTATAATGCAGAATCAATTAAAAGGTTGTTAAGGACTAAATATCATTTTTTGTTGAAGTTTAAATATGCTTATTGTCAGTATAGCTGACAATTATACTATAGTTTCTAGCTGCTATTATCTTTACATGGAGTTGCCAGGTTTTGCTGTATCGTAGCAATGGGCGATTGCCGCCTCCCCCACCCTTTTTTGATTTTGCTGGTTTTATTTAAATTGCCCCCCCCCCACTCCCTTCCTCTGAAAAAAAACCATGAAATGATGCCCCTGATGGGCATAGGCTATAGTAGTTGATTTATCATTTTCATCTTGCGGAACTGATATACCAGACAAGTCAACATCATCCTCATGTAACCATTCAGCTCTTAAAATAGAAGTATTGTCGGTGTGAGCAATAATTGCCATGAGCTCTCTCTGTCTTTGAGTTGGTATAGTTGTTATTGAACATCGATGAATTGAACACCATGTAAAATGACGTGTTAATCATTCTAGGGAGCAGAATAAGAGAAAAATGACAGGCGGAGACAGTTGCGTAGGCAGGGGGGGGGGAGGGCGGACCGCGCCAGGGGTCACAATATCAGGGGATGACACCCAATTGAAAAATGCATATTTACAGAGCTCGGTCTGACGGAATTTTAAAAAAGGATAACCGATCCCACGTTAATTTTCCACACGTGTAACTAATCCCATTGATGCGTCAGAAAGACCATTTTGACCATTTTTCAACGCCGATTGAAGTGTTCGGTAAATTTCATAAATGAAAGGAAGCAATATTTATCTAAATTCTGAGAAATAAAGCTTTCCACTGAAACCAAATATGATATGGTCGGACGATTTTAAGTAAATGAATAGAATCGATAAAAATCAAAAACATTAAAAATGAAATTTTACCCATTTTTAGGGTCAACAAAATAATACTTTACAAAATTTTCTAATAATTTTTCTTAATTGATTTAAAGTTATTTAATTTTTTTTTTAAAAGTTTTTGAAACCAAATCTATCGAAACCCAGAAATACTCGAAAATAAATATTTTCGCAGATTTATCTAAATAATAGAGCGCGATTTTTATACAGCACAAGGTCTTTTACAAGCTGTTTTTGATTTCACGTTTATATGCTACCCTTACCTTTGAGATGATCTGCTATGGAATTAATCTTCCCCAGAAGTATCTGCAGTCTAAAGGCTGTACTCTTGACAAAGTGGTGACCAACCTAGAGGGCTTAGGATTGTTCTGCACGAGAAGCACTTTCACTTTGTGAAACATGCTATTGAAAATATACATTTTTCAAATCAGACCAATATGGAACTTCGGTAGAGAGAACACAAATGTTTAAGAAGAGGATGAAAGGAGAACTATTAATTATTTAAAGATGATGGACTCTCTCTGCGAGAAGAAAAGAGAATGGAGAAGCGGGTATGCATTGCTCGCTTTCATTC